TTATATCAATATCGATGGTAATGATGATGATGGTGATGATAATAATGGTAACAATGATAATAGCAATGATTTTAATAATTATCATTTCGGATTTATCACACAATAAGTAAATAAATAAATAGATAAATAAATGAAAATATATATACATAAATACATATATTTTTTTTTTATTGTAATGCTCAGACTACGTGCATTAATCCAAGGTAACAACCCGAGCTATGCTGATGCGTGTTGCATAACAGAAAACAAACACAAGGCCTTCCAACGCAAACACACGTGCATTGACCCTTCCTCCTCCTCCTCCTCCTCCTCCCCCCCCTCCCCAACCCAGCCATGCCCACGTACCCCCATCCGGGTCGTCTCAAGATTCACCCGGGGAACGCCAAGGGGTGTGACGTCATTAGGAGGGTTGGGGAAAAGGTCATCGCGAAGTATATAAGTGAAGGTGAAATCCCTCAGCCAGGCAGTGTCTCTTCGGACTTTACCTTAACGAGAGGGTCTTACATCGACGTTGCTTTCTCCCGTTTTTTAGGAATCGTCATCTTATCAACAAACATGTCTTTCGCCAAAACCAGTTTCGTCTTGATCTTGTAAGTATTGGAAGTTGGAAGTGTTGGAGATCCATAGTCAATATCATGTGTTTATGAGTAATATGTTAGTGGAATCTCAGTTATATAGACTGGTTTTGGGTATTGAAATTTCGCACACAAAATTAAAGATATTTATAATCAGGTTTGACATCTTGTATCTTTACAAAAAAAACAAAACAAAAAATAAATGTTGTTTCTCTTCCTGTTAACATTTTATAAACTTTCTTTATATTACCATTTAACAAAACAACCAATTCATTCAATCTAATTTTACAGACGATTACGAAAAGGTGGCATTGTGATTGTTTATAATAATGTGTTTGTTTCCGGCAGATGCGTTGCCCTGTGCAGTGGGGGTCCCCTTGCCAGTGTTCTTAATCTTGAAGATGCGACAGCTCCCGTGGTAAGAATCTGTTGTTGAAGGAGAGAGAGAGAGAGAGTGAGAGAGAGAGAGAGAGAGAGAGAGAGAGAGAGAGAGAGAGAGAGAGAGAGAGAGAGAGAGAGAGAGAGAGAGAGAGAGAGAGAAAGAAAGAGAGAGAGGATGGGGGAGGGAAGGAAGGAGAGAGAGAGAGATATAAAAAGAAGAGAGAGAGAAAGAGAGAGAGAGGGGGGGAGAGAGAGAGAGAGAGAGAGAGAGAGAGAGAGAGAGAGAGAGAGAGAGAGAGAGAGAGAGAGAGAGAGAGAGAGAGAGAGAGAGAGAAAGAAAGAGAGAGAGAGAGAGAGAGAGAGAGAGAGAGAGGAGGTAAAACAGAAGCTTGAAAATCAGTATTTACAAAGGTTATCAGCACATATGATTCAGTTTCTTAAAATCATAAATGAAAAAACACACATTGACAGACACACACAAGAAAATAAATTCAGACTTTTTTTTTTTCATTTTCATTCTCTTGTTTATAATCCCCTGCTTTTCTCTACACACAGGCAAGACTAGTGAAAAGGAGTCCTCAATATCATACAATAAACAGCAGTCGACGATGCAGAGGAGCTAGGAATATAAGGTAAGAAAACACCCTTTCAACATAAAACAAAAAAAAAAAAGAAATATAATTTATGACAGTTATGACACTGACCTTCCTTTTATTGTAATATTCTCTTCAATATGTACACATTTTCCTTAGTTTTTTGTGAGCCTATCTGGTTATCCTGTCTCACGTAAAAGTTTCTACTCATTAGTTTAAAGATATTAAAAGGATTTTTTTAACATAAACTCATGTGTCTTTCTTAGTTCAGTATGTGTTGCGTTCACGGTTGTAAGTTCAGTCTACCTGTAGTTAATATTTTTATGTTTATCTTCCAGGTTAGAATATGGTTAGGTAGTATTACATTATATATTTAATTGCACACACACACACACACACACACACACACACACACACACACACACACACACACACACACACACACACACACACACACACACAATATTCTTGCCAATATTCACACATATACATACACATACACTTATACAAACAAAGAACAAAAAAAAAGTAATACTATTCGTCCATTTATTCTTGTTTCTCTCACCTTTCATTATTTTAATTGTTATTTCGTTCACATTTGTCTTTCTCTTTATCAGCTGTGACCCCAACCTTCCTCCTGTTCTGTGCCGTCCCTACGCCCTATCTCTCTGCCAAGATACCGAATTTATCAACGTTAATATCTAGAAGAGAAGAAATGGGCGATAAAGATGGCAAAAGGCGACGAGAGAGGGAATGGAGAAGACAAAGAGAATGAGAGAATGTGTGGATGTTTACTATTTTTTTTTCTCTCGAGTTATCAAGTTGTATATTTCTCTGTGATATTTTCGAAGTTTCTTGTGTTTCTTATTTATGTTGATGTGATTTTGTGTTTTCTCTCACTTCACCTTTTTACAAAAGTATAATACAAAAAAAATAGCTTTAATAAAGTTA